TGAGCCACTGTGCCCAGCCAGAATTTCTTATAATTCTATTTTCCTGGGTTTAATGGAGACAAAAATAACCAATAATATTTTCAAAATCTGCTTCTTGAAAAAATAATTATTAAAAGTTTTCATTAAGGCTGGGCGTGGTAGCTTTTGAGTGTAATCCTAGCATTTTGGGAGGCAAAGGGGGAAGAATCATCTGAGGTCAGGAGTTCGAGGCCAGCCTGGCCAATATGGTGAAACCCCATCTCTACTAAAAACACAAAAATTAGCTGGGTGTGGTGACACATCCCTGTAGTCCCAGCTACTCGTGAGGCTGAGGCAGGAGAACTGCTGGAGCTGGGAGGCAGAGGTTGCACTGAGATTGTGCCACTGGGTGACAGAGCGAGACTCTGTCTCAAAAAAAAAATTTTTTTTTTTCATTGGAACACATATATAGGGGCACATATTTTTCCTGGAGCCAGTGTGAGTTTGGAGGAGGAGAGGAGTGTGGCTCGGGTCCCCATGAGGCATAGGTTATGTCTCCATTATCTGACAAAACCAAGGCTACAAGGTGAGGGGCTCAGTGACATGGGTTGGGGTCTGAGCGGTTGACCAAGCACAGGCAATGCCCCCACCAAGCCCGTATTGCAAAGGGGTGTTGGATGGGCTGAATTTGCAGGACCTGTAGTGCTTGGGAGAGATGCCCAGGAGGCTGACTGATACTCAGTGCTGGACAGAAAGCTAAGTGTAGGTAGCATCCTCAATGTCCAGGTGGTGGGGAGCTGTGAGCCTGTGGGAGGCTGGAGAGGGGAGCATGAGGGCACCCAGGCCTGAACACAGGAAGAACACTGGATGGGGTTGGGAGGCCAGCGCACATGTGGGCAGTGATATTGGTGCTGCTCAGAAGACTGGGCATGGCGGGGGGGATCTGGCCAGTGGTGCAAGGCCCCTGCTGGGTGCTGTTGGCCTGGCTGAGCCAGGGCTGTTCATCTCTACTAAGGACCCGCTCCCCAGTTTGCTAGAGTGAGGTGGGATGCAGGTAGTGACAGAGGGAGGTAGTGGGCATGGGATAGGAGGCCTTGAGGAGCTGGAAGTGTTAGGCTTGAGAGGGAGGAAGCTGTCAGGAGAGGTGACTTAGTGGGGCCTTCTGCATAGCCACCTTGTCTTGGCAGAAAGGTAATGTGCTCCCCAGCCTTCCTGGGCAAGGGACAGAAGAGCCCCAACAACATGCAGGGGCTGGACCCTGCCCTCCAGATGGTCCCATCCACATATGCTTCTGACCCTGGGGTCTGGGATTCAGGGTCGGTACTCACGGATTCTGTGAGTTGGGGACACTGCCTGGCCTCAAACTGCCCTGTCCATGGCCAGCAAGTGCAGAGAGGCCCTGAGTCTCCCAGCCTGAAACCTGCTTAGCCCTGCTCACCACACCAGTGTAATTACACCCTAAGGAGCAGGATCAATGGGTACCTGATGCCTGATTCATAGTCCAGTGCAGAGGATCAGAGAGCACTGGCCCAGAGTCAGCACAGTGACCACACCCCAGTCTTGTAAGTGAGGGGCATTTACTGTGGTCACCTCAGCCACCACCATCCCTACCTGACCTACAACCTCAAGGTGCCCCTGAGGGCCCCCACAGCCTTCAGCTCTGGCTCTGGCGGGACTAACCTGGCCCGGCCACCAACCAGAGATTAGACAAGCCTGGTGGACAGTTAATGCCGCTGACGTCAGGGCCTGGCCGGGTGGCCACTAGGGGTTTGGGCCCTCCCCACAGGCAGTAGCACAGTCCATGTGACCAGGGCTCATTAAGCCGCTTCAGTGGCCAGAGAAGCTGGGGGCCAGATCTCAGGAGAGAGAGGGTAGGCACGTCAGGGCTGTGGGGATGAGGCCTTAGCCATGAGGTCACCAGTTCTGGGGACCCAGGCCAGGGAAGGGCTGGATAAAAGGGTTGCCTATGGGTCCCCTCCATACTTCTACACTCTGTATTGTGGCAATAAAGCCCTGTTCATGCCCAAAGAGTAGCCTCCCAGGCACCAAACTGAGCAGAGCATAGTCAGCAGCTGAGGTGTAGTAATAGACCTTGAGGTATAGGGATGAGAACCACCTTCTCCTGAGGATTTCAAACTCCCAATCATG